TTCCCCGTGCCCCGCTTTAGTCGTCATCTTTCAGAACTTGTTATCACTTTGGAGCACCTGGTAGGTGATCTTTGTGAAAGCTCACACCGCCTAGAATATGATTTCCAGATTTCTCCATAATTAAAACAGCATGTGGTGTGTTTCAGGGTGTGACAGCATGGTGCCAGAGGTAGCCCTGTAACTGAGCTACCTCTGATCTCGCTACGAAGACCATTCTGCTCTCGCTATGAAGACCATTCTGCTCTAGAGGCCTTACCAACTGCCTGGCTCCTTCCCTGGGTGGGTGGGTCGGTGGGTGTGTGTGTGTTTCCTCCTCCAAAGGACAAGCTATGTCTACATTTTTTTTTTCTCATCTCCCTTCTTTGGAAAAGAGCATATTGAACTCCTGGGTATGAAGGGGGTAGGCAGCGTATCCTGTAGGACTCATGGTGCCCAGCTTCTGTCAGCCTGATACTTGAGACACAGCTTAATCTAATGAGAATTTATAGAGAGGCTTAAGAGAGTGCCAAAACTACACATAAGAAGTATTGTTAGGAGGTCAAGTCCTGGACACATACTCGTTTTTACTCCTCAGAACACAGAGTAAATGTAGAAAGGCACCTTGGCATGGCACCTCAGGGAACAACCGTTCAGACATTATTTACCTTTTGATAATCGGTGTTTTCAAAGTGCCATGCACCTGAATCTATTGAGTGCTGCTGTGTGCCAGGCGTTTTGCTAGGTGCTACAGGTTCAGAGAAGAAAAACAAGACGTGTTCCTTCTAGAGCAGCAGTTCTCAACCTTCCTAATGCCGCGACCCCTTAATACAGTTCCTCATGTTGTGGTGACCCCCAACCATATAGAGTCATTGCTACTCTATAACTGTAATTTTGCTACTGTTATGAATCGTAATGTAAATATCTTTTTGTTTTATCGATGGTCTTAGGCGACCCCTGTGAAAGGGTCGTTTGACCCCCAAAGGGGTCGCGACCCACAGGTTGAGAACTGCTGTTAGAGGAAGAGAAGAAAGTCTCAGAGTGCCTCACATGTAGGAAACGTATTTCTCACTAAATTTTTGGTTCAGTTACTCACACACACGCAGTTGTGTATACTGTATCTCAGTGTACATATGTGTACAGAAATCATATTTCCTATTATGGAAAATAAAGTTTGAAAACACTATGATAGAGGGAAATAAACGTATCTATTAAAAGCAATAAAGTGTATCGGTTCTATAACAAACATGGTAGAAGACACATGAAGGAATGATGAGTGTTACTGGAGAGATCAGGCAAGACTGCAGGACGTGGCCTTCCAGCTGGGCCTGGAAACCTGACCCGGCTGGGTGGTAGGGCAGAGATCGCTAACCTGCCCCTTGGCGGTCCAGGCCTAACAGTATGTGATTCTAGTAAGTGCTCTGCCCCCTGATGGATGGATGGATTCTTCCCAGTGCTGGGCCTGACAGGGAAGAGCAAAGACCCTTCATTCTCATTCCAGCCTAAGGTGATGACAATATACTGTAGATAAGTGTTTCCACTATACACCTGGGATCCACGCCTCCAACACACGCATAGACACACACCTGCAGCAGTTTAGAACGCCATGTTGTAGTTGGGCTTCTGACATATGCATTCATTTTTTGCTGTCCTAAGTATCAGCACCCTTTACAGTTATAGAAACTTATAATCACATGTGTAATCAAATTAGCGTGTTATGAATTGGACACCGTAAAACCCACAACAGGTTCACCCAGCGAATGAACCTTCTACGTATGATTAGTTTAAGATGCTGCATTTCAAATGATTCTGAATCTTAGTTTATTTCAGTCATCCTTTTCAGTTTATTTTGAGCACCCGTTTTGTGCCACGTACCGTGCTGGGTACGGTCCGTATAAAGATGGGAGAGACTGCGCCCACACCTAAAGGGGCACAGAGCCTGGTTGGGNAGGCTGAGCAGGGAGGCCCTGTCAGTGGACGGAGGCCTTGGATCAGGGCCGTCGAGCCTGTGACTTTCAGACAATCCGGAACCCTTTTGGGCGACTTTGATGGGCGCCATCTAAAATTAAAAATGAGAAGAAGCCACGTGAGGCTTTCACTAGACACCCACACGTGTTCTTCAGCCAAAAGTGGAAGATGCCCAAGGAGCCGCAGGGTCTCCTTCAGGACGGAGGGAGCGGCTGTGGTTTGGGAGGCAGGTTTCCATTGTGCCCGACCAGAGGGGCTGGGCGTGCTCACGTGTATGTGACTGATGACATTCCTCCCGCGGAGAACGTCGCTCTGACATTACAGGCTGTGCTTACACATCCTGCAAGTAAACAGTACAGAACAATGGGGACAAACACGCAGGTTCCTCCCGCCACACCCTTGGGAAACCCTGCGAGCCTAGGACCCTCGTGTACGCAGCAGGCAGAGGAGGCACCCGCGTCACTGGCAGCCCTTCTTGCTTCCTGGTGACCTGGAACAGGTCACCTGTCCTCGCTGTGCCTGAACGTGCTCCTCTGGAGACAGCGGACTTCCCGCTCCTTGCTGCTCAGAGAGGTTGTGAGGACAGCTAACTGTGTCAGGAAGCAGTTTAAACTTCTCTGAAAAAAGGCGGGAGGGACCCTGTAATGAAAGGTCTTCTTAGAATTAAAATATCGCTCTATATTTCATATAAACAATACCCCTTGGGAAAAGAAGAGACAGATGAATATGCATCATTCTCCCTCCCCAACTAATGAATTTCTGTTGTTGCCACGTTCAAAACCTCACAAGCAAATGTCCAGTCTCGGTTTTTGAATAAGTGGACAAATGGATAGATGACCTGACACACAGGTAGGTCCGGGGGAGGCAGAAAGGCCTTTCGTAGTGCCGGGCACGCGTTCACAGCCCCCTCTCTGATTTCCTTAATAGGGCTCAGGAAGCTGGTTCTGTTAGGACCGTGGTCCCACAGGTGAAAGAAGTCGAGACATCTGTGATAACAAGGCAACTAAATGTACTAGATGTAAGTGAGGAAGTGGAAAAGGAGTAAGTGAGAAAACAATACAGCTCTACTAAATGCTGAGGACAGGAACCTAAGCCCAAGCCAAAGGGCATACCATAGAGTACTTGAAAGATGGAGGAGGTAGGTGAGGGTCTGAGAAAGGAGAGAAAGAAATAAAAACACAGGGAGATCCTAAGAAGGACAGGGCGTAACAAAATACAGAGGAAAATCTTGCATTCTACTTTCGTGTGGTACCTTCTTCCATGTGGTGAGAATTCAGTTCAGTACTGCTAGTTTTTCTTTAACTTTTGATTATGGAACTTTTCAAACATAAGCAAAAATGCCGAGAAACATATAATGAATGCTATGGACATGTCCCCCAAGTTCAAGAAGAAAAATCTCGCTCCTCTCCCAGGCCANGGCCAGCGACCAACTCTGCATGGCTTTGGTAGGCCCCATGGTACTTGGCATGATGTCCTGCCGGAACATGCTTCTATAATCTTATTTGAACAGGTAAATGAACATTTGATCTGGTCTTCCCTGAAAATCATTGCATTTGGGAGCAGGCTAATAGGGTACACGACATGGGACTGCTTCGATTCTCTTTGTGGACTGGAATTCCTGTGCGGTTATCAGTCCTTTTGGTGAGTCTGTGCTGAATGCAGTTAGGGACCAATGAGCCACAGGCTGTCATGGAGGAAAGCTACGTGCCACTTGTTCTGTTTGAATTGCAGGAATAGTAAATTCAGTATGAAAAGAAAGGTGAATTAGGAAAGCTACAAAACACCACAGTAAAATTAGAGTGGGTCCAGAAAACAAATAAGCATTTTTTGGTGTCTGTGTGTATACCATATATCGCCGAGGTACTATAGACACATTTTCTGCTTTTCTTTGCCACATATTTTATATAAAGCGACACTTCTCAGAGAGTGGGGTTTCCTTGGGACTTAACATAGGTCAGTGTCGGGCTGTGTCCAGCTGTGACCACAGGGACCACCGGGCAGTGAGCCCTTTCAACCGCTGGACGAGTGTCAGCCTGAGATCCGTTTTCCTGGCTCGAGGCATCTTCTGTAACCCAGTCAAGCTCCTTTCTTTCTTTTAATGCATTTTTTAAAATTAAATTTGTCTCATTCCCAACTAAGCAGATGTTGAATCTGACGGAAAAGAGTTCTTCTTTCTGTCCTGCAGTTTCTGGGTTTGGTCACGGGATCCTGATAATGTCTCAATTCTTCATTTTTAGATAACAATCAACAGAGATAATGATGAAGATGTGAGTTCCCCCAAACACGGGAAGGAGGACCCAGACAACATGCCCCACGTGGGCGGCAATACTTGGGCTGGCGGAACAGGTTGGTAGCACGGGCACCCTGGGTCAGGCTCCCCGAGACCTCACACGGCCGTGTAGACAGCAGGCACACAGGAGGCTCCGGGGCCACGTGCCTTCTCTGCCTGTCCGTCAGACAGTGGGACTGTGCCTTCTGTCCCTGCTTGACATCAAGACCTGGAAAAACCCTGGCATTTGGAGTCCCCGCAGGCTCTGCCCCTCTATGACCGAAGACCATGTGGACCTTCCCAAAGTTGCTTCGTCAGTGAATGGGGATAATATTAACTGCCTCATGGGGCTGTGGTGAGGATTCAATGCAATTATGATTGTAAAGCACTGAGCACAAGACCTGGCACAGAGAACATGGTCATTAAAAGTGTTACTCCCATCTTTTAAATTCCGTGTCCTTGGGGTCATGCCAGAAATGTATAGTAATTTCTTTCTCTACCAGCTGACTTTGAAAAGAAATGGCCCCTGTCTTCCACATCTCAGAAGTGAATGCGTTGAGGATGCAGGATTTTGAGATAAGAGAGCTGGCTGCGGTTTGAGCTGATGGCCGGGGTCCGTTCCTTCCTCTGGCTGCCTGGCGAGAGCATTGTTTGTCCCATGCCTGCTGTCTTCCTCCTTCCTCCGCGGCAGCTGCAGCAGACGCATCTGCTGGGCCGCGGGAATCGGGCCAAACTATGCGTGCACCGTCTGATCTTATCTCGGCTTGTGAGGAGTGCTGGCACGGGCTCCGAACGCGGCCTTCCCACAGGATGGTCTGTGCCTCTTGGCCTTGCCGGCCTCGGGAGGAAGTGGGTTTCTGTGCAGGCACAATGTGCTGTCAAATAGGCCTGGACTTCTTGCCTGCTATTTATTCATCAAGCATCAGCTCTGAAGAAAGGGTATTTTTAGAAATGTCCTTTGATCTGGAAATCAGTGTTACTCGGCGAGATTGAATCCATATGGGATGCCTTGTTGAACGAGCAGGCCAGATGCAGGTTTCCCAGCCATGGAGGTTCTCGCTCAGTATTCACCTTGCACTTACTACCGCACATACCTGCCCAGCTGAAGACCCTGCTTCTGCGCCCCACAGTCTTTATTTTTCATTTCTCAAGGCTCCTTTGCTGTGTGTCAGACTCTTTTCTCTGTGTCCTGCTTTTCCCTCAGAATTCTCTACAGTGAACTTAGCTCTGACCCAACAAGCCGTCTGATTCCTTTGTCATCATCAAAGCCCCTCCCTTGCCTATGCGCTGCTTATCTCAGAACTGATTTAGGATATCCACTGTTAGCTTCAAGACGGTGCCTGGAGTTCCAGGACCTCCAGCAAGCATTTTTATTTAATTAGTACCACTTTAAGGCTCTCGGACGTGGAGGTCGTGAAGAACTCGCTCCTGTGCCCTCTCCACCCCAGTGTGACTTGCCCAAGGGAGCGTGTGACTCATGCTGACCTGACTATCACTCACAGCAGCCTCCAAACAGTTGTAGGTCCTTTCCTCCAAAACCGATGTCACCTTAGCGCCTAGGAAGTGTTAAGCTCTGATTCATGGTCCACCCATCTATTCCTAAGGAGAACTTGTAGGAAGGGAGTTGGGTCACGTAAACAGCTTTCCTACTTCCGTAGGTCCTGGTCATTGTCTGTTACTGGTCTCCTCTGCCTATCGGTTATCCAGGAGTGAGAGCCAGGAATTAGCCACATCCAAGTAGGAATTTTCCACAGTTTCTAAATAAGATGTGCTCGAATCAAAGGGTAAAAATAATATCGTTAATAGGCTGTTCTCATGCTATTTCCCAAAAGAAAATGACCCACCTGGACTTTGATAAGGGAAGCAGTGCACGCTGGGTTCTTACTTTTGACTTATTACACCACTTAAGTCTTCATGGGAGAAAATTAAAATGTGACATAATTTAACCAAAGCCTAAAAGCTTTCAGATATTCCACTTTATGAAACTTAGAAATGACCTCATTTATGTGACTGCAAGTTGTCTAAATACGAATAGTAACAGCAGTCGCTAGCTCTTATTTTGTGCCAAATACTGTTCTAAGCATTTTAGCCTCATGACAGCCCCATGACGTAAATGATATTAGTGTCCCTGCTTTACAGATTGAGACACCGAGAAGTTAAGGAACTTCCCTGAAGGACTCATCACTAGTCCCCTGGAGCCAGGATTCAAACTCAGGCAGTCTGGCTTAACTCTACAATACAATACTAAATAATACTAGTATATTATACTGTATTATGCTGCCCCTCCAATATTGGATTCTTTTCTAAGTTCCCAAGTGATGTGTGAAT